CTTATTATAGTCATAGTATAATGGGCCCCAAAACCCTATTCTAATATTTTAAGGCCCCTATATTAACCATCGGCGCATTGCGGCTGTATAGAGAAAATGGCCGTATGACTGGTGTGGTAGATTCTCGCAACAATATGTCCACATCTAGAATAGGGTCTTTGGTCTATTAATGCTAAAATAGAATTGAGTTCTCAAAAAGACATCCGCTTCAAAAACGTGCTTTGTTCAGGATTTAGGGTTTAGGGTTTACGTCGAAGTGGCGTCGCACTGGAGTTGAGACTAGCTAAAGTGTGGGACGCGAAAGATCTGCAACAACAAACGGTCGGCAGTAGCAGTGACTGGCTGAGTCTCAATTGGGTGATGATCCTGATGCACACGCAACCTTTCTCCATATATGTATTGGCCAATCTCTGGGCATTAGCCCACGCACACCTGTGAGCCATCCCAACAGAGTGGCCAGGCTTCGCTCCTTTGAGTACATCCGTGGGCACTCCAGGAGCGCACGATTTAAATGTATGGGGTGCATTGTGCACACCTTCAAAATGAAGTGCCAGTCCAGACCCACGGGATTCTGTACTCAGAGCTACTTATGCTTAGTGCGAGGAGCTTCTGCATGGCAAGAGGACAATGCCGAATCGTAAGCGGAGTGAATCTGATTCACTGCCGCTTGCAACACCTCAACCACACACTTCCGCTCAGTCGGGCAGCTCAAGTTTCACAACATCGAAGACTCAGAACGGCAAGTCTCCTGGTTTTGCAGGCAAGGCACGGAGACATCTGGCTGCGGTAGGTTGGCCGCCTGAACCGGAAAAAAAGTGCCGTGATGTGAAGCGTGCACCTACCTGGCATGCAAACTCCTTGCCTCGAAGCGGTGGATCAAGAAGCCAGAGTCTTGCAGCACAAAGCCTCATGTTTGCGGCGAATCATACCACCAGGTTTTTTTGTCTAAGTCTCGGTTCCTTGTGGGTAATCTACAGGCTTGATGCTTCGACAAACCCGGATGCATGCACACCGAGATGCGAATTTGATCCAGCGTCTGCCTGGCACAGCACTGCGAGGGCCACATCTCTGCAGCACCCTTCGTCACATCTGAAACATGTAAACAGCAAAAAAAGAGAATGACGTGTCTGTTCAGCTGCGTCACGCAGCCAAGGCAGACGTGCAGCCCTCAGCAGCCATGAGGCGCCCAAAGACGTCGCCGTCACCTGACAAGAACACAAAAAACTCTGTTCTCAAAGCACGCGGCACACCACGGAGCTGGACAGCAGCTCAAAATACTGAAGGCAACTGTTGGTTTCATGCACCAGTGAGTTTGTTTGCAACTACAAGTAACAACAGATCTTAAGACCCGGGCTGATGATCGCCGCAAGTTCGCCCATCAAGTTGGATGTCTCCCGCCACACGGCTCGAAGTTGAGCGCGGCTCCGGCGCATCGACTTCATGCCGGAGGAATATGACTGGAGAAGGTCCAAGGTGCCTGCGCAAAGTACCACAGGGATTAGGGTTAAGGGTTACCTATAGTCTCCATTTGTAGTTCCTTTTTTTGGTTCAACCAATTATATATTAAGGATTTTATAAGGTATCCCCAAAAAGGAACTACAATGGAGACTCTAGGTAGGGATCAAAGCCGGACATTGCACCTGCTCTGCAATTCTCGTACTCGGCCAGCGCGGTGACGGAAAGTTCAAACTGAGTGATCTCCTGAGCTCACATGTGCTGAGCCTCAAGACAACCGCGGTGCACCCTCCGGAAGAATTTGGGCGAGGTCTGATTGAGCCTGTTCAAACTGTGTTTTTGACTGCATATGTAAAGGTACCGAACATGCACACATATGCGCACATCAATTAGCGTATAATCTGCATATACATATATATGTACGCACATACATACATATGCGTATTTATATACACATACATCTGTAAATACAACTATATATACAGATATGAAAATCTAAACGAATAACTACCTATCTATATATATATATATATTTTTTTTTTAGATGTATACATGTGTACATATATATATATATATATGTAATGTGCTTCGTGTACATACATACATACATACATACATACATACATACATACATACATACATATGTGTATGTGTGTACATATATATATATATATGTATCCATACAGTGTCTCTTTTTGTGCGTGTGTCAGTGCGGGTGCATGCATGTGCGCATATATACGAGTGTACGTGTCCAGTAGGTATGTGCATGCATGAACGCATGCATGGGTTGCCTGATGCATAGCTGGATGGATGGATGCGTGAATGTCTGCATTCATGGGTGGGTGCATGGATACGTTGATGCATGGATGGATGGATGGATGGATGGATGGATGGATGGATGGATGGATGGATGGATGGATGGATGGACGGATGGATGGAGGGATGGACGGATGGACGGATGGATGCACGCATGCATGCATGCAGGTCTGTATGCGTTTCAGTGCACGTGCATGTCAACGTGTGTATGTATATGTTGTGGCGTTATAATAATATTTATATGAGAGCAAGTCTTGTACATCTTGGATTATCTATTTTTACGTTTTAAGTGCGATGTTAGATACGATTCCAATTTACGATTACATGTTCCAATACGAATCCAAACTACGATTCCAACTACGATTGCAGGACCATGTGCAGGTTCCAGTACGAATCCAAACTACGACTGCCAAGGCCCCCAAACGACTAAATTTAGCTCCATACGGACTGACCTGCTTGGGCCCCTGACGCCGCCCCTCCGCATGGCCAAAGGGGAGGGGCTCCGGAATCGCACTTGGAATCGTACTTTGCTCGGGAATCGTACTTGGGATCGTACTTTGCTCCTGGATCGTACTTGGAATCGTACTTTGGAATCGTACTTTCCTACTATGAAAGTACGATTCCAAGTACGATGCCAAAGTACGATTCCAGGTACGATCCCGGAGCAAAGTACGATCTCAAGTACGATTCGGGAGCAAATTACGATCCCAAGTACGATTCCCGAGCAAAGAACGATTCCAAGTACGATCCCAAGCACCATGCCAAGTACATGAAATCGTACATGCAATCGTACACGACTTCGTAGATCGTATATTCGTACATGAAATCGTACGTGCAATCGTACATGCAATCGTACTTGATTCGTACATGTCTTTGTAGGTCCTACATGAAATCGTCAATCGCAGTCGTACATGAACTCGTAATCGTAGTTCACAGTCGTATCCGGGATCGTAAAAACTCATTTGGCGGGATACAAGGATTGCTCAGATAAATATTATAATTGTGGCGTGTGTAAAACTGAACTAGAAACAGGCAAATGATGTACGCATGTACATATGCACGTACACATGTTCGTGGATATGTGCGTCATTGCGTAACTCTGTTGTTTTGCTTGTGCGCACTTGTTGCGTGTGCGTTTCTATCCATGCACGTGTGCATGTCTCTATATGTATGCACGTACATGCATACGAAACATACCTGTGCGTGAGTGCTTGCATGCATGCGTGCGTGGGTGGTTAGTAAGGGTGGGTGTGTGGGTGGGTGTGTATGCGTGTGGCTAGGTGCGTGAGGGTGCGCGTGTGCCCGCGCGTGCATGTGGGTGACTGTGTCTGTGTGTGTGTGTGTGTGTGTGTTGGGGTATGTGTGTCCCTCTGCGTGAGGGTGCAGGCGCGGGTGCGGGTTCGTGTGCCTGTGCATGTGGGCGGGTGTGTGCACGTGTGTCCTGCCGATTTACATGTACACATGTGTGCATAGCTCGGCCAAGGTCAGCCTTGCAGATATATACATGTGCTTGTATAAAGACATATATGTATATATGTATATATCTAACTATATATATATATGCATATATGTACATACATATGTATGTTTTACACAGCACATGTATAAAACATAAACAAATGCACATACACATATAGACAGCTGCGATAAAGACATAGACATAACAATAAATGGATACATATATGGGTATTACAGGTCATCAGAAATAGACATGACTACCGATATAGCTATGTACATGTACACATATGTATTTCGTTACAACACACAAAACACACTCCTGCATAGATGCATGTGTATAGAAGTACATTCGCACCTACTATATACATACACAAATACAATAATACATGTCGTGTGTGTAGATGTCCTGCATGGGGGCCTCTCTCTCTCTCTCTCTCCCCGAGTCTCGTCCGTTCGCTCGTCTGGCCTTTCGCCTGTCCTCTGTTTCTGCATCTGCATCTGCATCTCGACCTGCTTTAGGCACCCACAGGGTGCCGCCTGCAACCAAGTTTCATCCCCGGCGACGTCGATGTAGCGGTCCAGCCTGTCCCGGATGCGCCACCACAACTTGTCCAATGTCACCAGCGTCTGCTCTGCGTCGGCGAATCGGGCCCAGGACTTTGCCGCCTGCCGATCTGATGCTTTTTCTCTGGGCTCGGCAAGTCTGGGTTCAGCTTGTGCTGCAGCCCGGTTTGGCCTTGTGTGCGGCGCGGCTGTGCGCCCGATAAATGCCCAAGACCTGCCACGAAAGGCCGGAAGGCAAACAGCTTGCACTGGCACTGACCCAAACTCAGCTTGCGCTCCCCGTGCCTGCGCTTGCCGGCGCGTTCGGTCCTTCAAGGATTGGGAACCCTTCTTGGAGACTGGGCCATACAGCATACCAGGCTACAGCGGCATACCTTGCGTCGGATTTACACATGTTCGTACCATGATAAGCTGCGGCTTTGAGAGCCGGCCCAGACGGCTTGTCTGCTGGCTGGGCGATCAATCAAAGCCGCACAAAGAGACGACTACTGCAGGGGCCTTTACAATGGTACTATACAGTAGTGTACGCTAAATATAATAAGGAACCCCAAACATAAATTAGTAGAATAGGGTGTTGAGGTAATGTACTGTAAGTCTGATAAGGAACCCTCCAAAATAGTCTAGGTAAGTAATATAGGTCTTAAGGCCTCTATATTAGACCCTAAACCCTAAACCCCTAAAGCCCTAAACCCTAAACCCGTAAACTCCTAGGTCTTAAGGCCCCCCATGGTAGCAGAGCTTGAGATCCGGCCTGAAGCTGCCGAGCCTCGCTGGCGACCTGCCGTCCTTACTTCGCAGCACCACGCGCTGAAGACTTGGGAAAGCTGCTTCGGGCTTAGGGTTTAGGGTTTAGGGTTTAGGGGTTTAGGGTTTAGGGTTTAGGGGTTTAGGGGTTTAGGGTTTATAGGGTTTTGGGAGGTAATGAAGTCCTCAAGTGCTTCAAACCTACGGACCTCTACGGCTTGAGCAGTGAACTGCGGGGCATTGAGACGTTGAGCATCCAAGCGACCCACGGCCTGTGCCTTCGTGAGCCCGCCCGCGGATGCCCGCATCGTCTGATGAAGGTCAGACATCAAGCTCTGGAACTTCTGCACCTCGCAGGGCCGAGAGGCATAGGGGCTGCACACAGCGCTTCTCTCATGTGTCCAAGGCAGAAAAGCAGTGCCGGAGACTCCTCTAATGTAGCATTGTTATACACTGTTACTATTGCTATTCGTTTTATTACTAGCAATGATATTACTACCATCCTACTTAGTGCTATACAGCGGTGCATGCCAATGGCTGCCTGGCCCGTGCGCGTGGAGTTGCCCTCGACCAGAGGCTCCGCGGC